GGCCTGCTATCCTGTGGGAAAGGGTGTGGTGTGTGGGCCAGCTATCCTGTGGGAAAGGGCGTGGTGTGTGGGCCAGCTATCCTGTCGGAAAGGGTGTGGTGTGTGGGCCAGCTATCCTGTGGGTAAGGGTGTGGTGTGTGGGCCAGCTATCCTGTGGGAAAGGGTGTGGTGTGTGGGCCAGCTATCCTGTGGGAAAGGGTGTGGTGTGTGGGCCAGTTATCCTGTGGGAAAGGGTGTGGTGTGTGGGCCAGCTATCCTGTGGGAAAGGGTGTGGTGTGTGGGCCAGCTATCCTGTGGGAAAGGGTGTGGTGTGTGGGCCAGTTATCCTGTGGGATGAGGTGGGGGCCCTAAGCCAGCTATTATGTGGGAAGGGTTGAGGTGGGGGTGTAGGTCATCTATCCTGTGGATGTGGAGTGGGGGTGTAGGCTATCTATCCTGTGGATGTGGGGTGGGGGTGTAGGCCATCTATTCTATGGGGTGGGGGTGGGGGTGGGGCGATCTCTCCCTAGCCGTGGTCAACAATCCGGACACAAACCTCTCCCTTATCAGGTGATGCATTACGGTAAACCATCTCGTGATTGTTTGCCCCGTTTTAATCGTTGTCTTCAAGATACATTGGCCGGTGGCAAGTGGCTAAAAATACCCACATTTGCATACATTTGCATACGGACTATCAATCTTGGCGCCGCGAATTTGCCATCAACTTTCCTGACCGGCCGGAGAAACCCCGTGGAGGGTAGATGGCCACAAACAGGGGGGTGGGGGAACTTCGGCGGAAGTGGAATTTGCATAGAAAAACGTCTCGGGTCGCACAAAGTGTCTACATTGTGGTTTTATAACAATGAGGGAGAGGGAGGGGGGGTAGGCGATGTTTTTTTTTTATAGTTTTTTTTTTACGGCACATGAGCTGATAGTTGATTAGGACAAGTAGGTTAGTGTTAGACTAGACATGTTGGTCAGTTCTAGACTAGACAAGTTGGCAATGTTAGACTTGACTAGACAAGTTGGTCAGTTCTAAGTTAAACAAGTTGGTCAGTGATAGAGTAGGCAAGTTGTGAGACTGGATACAAGTTGGTAAATGTTAGACTGGACACAAGTTGGTCAATGTTGGACTAGACAAGTTGGTCAGTGGGAGAATTGCGACAAGTAATAAGTGGGCGGGGTCTACTTAAAATATTCAACTTCCTGTTACTTGACCCTACTTTTTTTTCTGAAACATCATTGAAATTTCAAAATCTGAAACACATTTCAACCCAAAACAAATTTTTATACCTCACCTACCCACTTCTAGTAAGTTCGCCGATACGTCAATCCCCTACCCCAAAGACGTCAATCATTTCTGACATTAGACAAAACACAACGGGACACATCAACATCGTTTCACTGAACCTACTCACGTTTTCCTGAACCCACTCACAAGGTCAGGCTAAAGGATTGGCATCGCCTGTCTAGAGTTTCTTTCAGGCATCTCTTCAGGAACATGTGGCGGGGGGACGCGTCTACCCCCCCCCCCCCTCCCCTCTCCCAAAGCACATTTTTATAGAAAATATGTCCTTCAACAAGTGTCCGCCACCCCCCCCCCCCCTGTACGCGAAATTTCTGCTTTTCCGTACCCCGGAAGTTTCAAGTGTCGTACCCCTCCCCTCCCCAAACCCTGTAGAAAAAGCTTTAAAAGAAACACTGCAACTGGCTTGTAACATATGTCACGTTTAAATCTACTATCTCTTCTTGGTAGTTCTTGACTGGGTGACACGCACAGCCTATGCCAGTTCTGGAAAAGGTATTCAGTGGACACTCACGGGGAAACTAGAAGATCTGGAGTTTGCAGATGATCTTGCCTTACTCTCGCACAGGCTACAGGACATGCAAGAAAAAGTTGATGCATTAGGAGCCATCTCGCAGCGCGTAGGCCTGAAGATCAACAAAGAAAAGACGGAAATGATGAGAATTAACAATAAACAGGAGGCTCCAGTGTCAATAGACGGAAGACAGGTAAATGATGTGCAAGAGTTTGTCTACCTTGGCAGCAAGATCAGCAAAACGGGAGGCACAGAGGAGGACATACGCGCTAGAGTTAATAAAGCCCGCTGCGCTTTCACAGTCCTGCGACCCATATGGAAATGTTCGGCCATCTCCATTACCACAAAAATTAGGATATTTAACTCTAATGTCAAGGCAGTTCTGCTGTATGGAGCAGAGACATGGAGAGTCTCCAAGGCAAGCACAGCAAAGATACAGACCTTCATGAATAGATGCCTTAGACAGATACTGAAACTGAGATGGCAGGACAAAGTGCCGAACTTGGAACTATGGAGGAAAGCTAGGCAGGAGCCTATAGGTGTGCAAATAAGAAGGAGGAAGTGGCGCTGGGTGGGTCACACACTGCGAAAGGCTCACACAAATGTTACACGCCAAGCGCTTGAGTGGAACCCCCAGGGAAAGCGGAAGAGAGGGCGCCCAAGACAGACCTGGAGGCGGAGTCTTCTTGAAGAACTGAAGCCAATAGGGATGTCTTGGGAGATGTCAAAATTAATAGCCGAGGATAGGAAGAAATGGAAGGAAATGGTGGAGGCCCTATGCTCCATAAGGAGCAAAGAGGACTAAGCAAATCTACTATCAGAAAAAGATCCGCATATGTTTTAGTAAATAACTTAACGGCTTAATCGCAAACGAAGCAAAGCAAAAAAAATCAGACATTCTTCAGATGGTATCATGAAAATTTAATTGATTTTAGTCCAAAGCATCAAAATATAAAGGATATCAAAGCATTATTGAATCATGTATACTTACATCAGCTATTTAACCAGGAGCTAGCAGAATATCATACAGTCAGCTTACCACTGCAAAAAAACAACAGTCTAGCATTAAGTTAGCAGTATTTTTTTCCAGTAATACGTCGTTCAAAGACTACATTTAGGGAGATTTTTCACTTTTCATTTTATTTTATTTCATTCTGTGAGATACCACATACGTTACGTGCTTTTTAATGTCGAAATCTAATGCCATACCACGAATGCTGAGAGTCATTTACTGTAAAACACTTTAGAGACCCATGTAGCCCGCGGCACTGTAACTATCATTAAAGAAATTATATTGAATAAAAAAAAGCCATATAGCGTTCTCCCCGCGTGCGTTATACTCAGATGTCATGTTCTTACCATCAGTTCAACACGACAAAATGTGATTTCGGTTCGCACCGTCGGCATTATCTGTGGCATAACATTCCTGCCAAATACCGGAACACGTTAGCCATTAGGATGCGGTCACACGGAAGTGGTCATCTGTTATATGTCTGACGTCATAGAATTACAAACATTAGTACTTTTATGGACGTCATAGAATTACAAACATTAGTACTTTTATGAACGTCATAAAAGTAAAGTAAAGTTTTCCTTTCAAACCTGACGGTCTATTGGGCAAGTGAAGTAGAGTTCACTTGTTTCTGTGATCTCGGCATATGAAGAGATAGTGTGGTCAGCACTATGCCCAGCCGCCTTTACTCTCCCTAATTTTTGAATTAGGTACCCATCAGAGTTGGGTGGACTAAGGGACGGTCTACTGACTTGAACCCGGATTCGAACTTGAGACTAACGGGTTAGCAGTCCAGCTCTCTACCGCTAGACCACTCCATCCCAATGTACGCCATACACTTGGTGAAATAGTTAAATTCTGGACGCCATACAAGATATAATATTAGTTTTAAAACGTAGACGTCATACACAAAAATACAGTAGCGTAGCAAGGGGGGGGGCGGGGGGGGGGGGGACATATGTCCCCGTGCGCCGACCTTAGGGGGCGCCAAAATGGGTTGGAAAAATAAATTGAAAGTTTGAGGGGGGGGGTGCAAATGGAAATCTCGAGGGGGGCGTGCAAATCGAAAAGTTTGTCCCCGGGCGCCGGGAAGGGTCGCTACGCCTCTGCAAAAATATATTCAATTTTTTAATGTTGACTTCATACAAGGTAATATATTAGTTTTAAAATATGGACGTCATACACAGAAAGATACAAATTCTAAAATGTGGACTGAATACAAAGTTATATATTAATTTTTAAAACGTGGACGTCATACACAGAAAACCATTAATTAAAAAATGTCAGACGTCACACACATGAAAACATTAGCCCAATATTATTCCTCACCAATACAAGCCCACCATTTAGACGACTACGGGTCAACTTGAAAAGACTCCTTACAGCTTTTTAAGCCAATGTTTCTCTCTCTCTCTCTCTCTCTCTCTTCCTTTTATTAAGACCTCGTCTTGTCCTTGATGCTGTGTCTAGAAAACAAAGCTAATTACTACCTACATAGCCTTGCACTGCACATTGCAACATATTTCCTAAAACTCCAACATCAATATTTTTTAAAATTACGAAGCCCCCATATATCAATACTCTTCTTGATTAGTATTATTATTATTGTGTTGGATGCATACAGTCCTAAAAATAGTTGATACATTAATTCGGGAAAACCCAGAAGATATTCTCAGAGCGTAGGCCCTAGAAGCATCCTCTGTATGACCTTTGTATAATGAGATCAGAGTTTCTCAAACAAAGAGTAAATGTACCCTAAAGGGTTCATGGACAAAGCACCAGTGGGCGAACCTGTTTTTTCTGGAACCAAATACAGTATAATCTATGATGTCATCGATGATGTAGGGTTAATGACAGCTGAGGTAGAAGTTAAGGTTACTTGGTGTAAAACATTTGAGAACTCTTGATTTTGCGTAGAAGCATAGTATGTTTCACGAAACCTTTACGCAATATTTCTAAATTAAAAAAAAAAGTTGTATGAATAACTATGTCTTAAGTTTTATTAACTTTTTAATGTCTGAATCTAGAAGCTGGCGTTATTAAATCCAAACCACGACGCTCTATTCTTATCTTAGATCTACCGCTACAAAATGTAGGCCTACATAACACAAAGAATTTATCATGTTTATTTTTTTAATATCTAAACTGTAAACAATCTAAAACTGTAATCTTTTCTTTTTTTTTCGCAGATTCTATTGAATACCGGCCATCTTTATTACGTCACACACAAGGGTGAACCTCTCAGCACTAAGCGACCTTGAACTTTCAATTTGGACATCTGTCAAACTATTTTAGGACAGGCTCTCATCAGCCTTCATGTCACTTCCGCTCCAGTTCTGGTCTTCATGAAACAACGCACGTGAAATTTTGCAAAAATCTGCACGCGCCGATCTGAGCCTCGTGTTTTGTAAAATTATTTTTCTCCCAGACTTTTGATGCCTGCTACAGTTGCATAGATGATCTGTGAGTCCCCACCCAAACGAATGGACGTTAAAGGAATAATTTTGCGTCGCTACAAAAAGGGTATAGGTAGAAGCAGCTTGCTGGAACACATGGCCCATCTCCTTTTCTGGTCTCAATGCCTGCGACTCTACAGAAGAAAACGTTTCTATTAGGCGAACGTACAAGAAGACCATTCAACTTTACAGGAACAGTTGTAATATTTCTCTTAAACTGAATTAATTTTATAAAATTTTGTGACAATCTACATTTTTAAAACAAAAATGGCGTCGAATAGTTTAGCAGACGCCCACATTATTAACCCCTACCCGACTGACAATATTAGCAATGTTTTTAACGTCATGGGCAATCACTCCACCCTCCCCCCGCCTCTCAACGGGTCGGAGAGTCGCGAGTTCGAGAGGATTGTCCGCGTCATTATCCCCACCATCTTCGGCTTCATCTGCGTGCTGGGGCTCTTCGGCAACTCGCTGGTGATTCTGGTCGTGTTGGCCGACAAACACATGAGGAACACGACCAACATCCTCATCCTATCCCTAGCCGTCGCTGATCTGCTTTTCATACTCTTCTGTGTACCCTTCACTGCCACGGGTTACGCCTTGCCGGTTTGGCCATTCGGCGACATCGGCTGCAAGGTTGCTCAGTACGCTATGTACGTCTGCGCCTACGCCAGCGTGTATACCTTAGTCGTCATGTCATTAGATCGATATCTAGCCGTCGTTCACGCGATACGTTCGATGACGCTTCGATCAGAAAGAAACACCTGGTTCGCTATCGCCATCATCTGGATCATCATCCTATGCGGGAACATCCCCATCTTGATACAGTTCGGGGAGAAACGCTACGAGTTCGGGAACGAGAACAGGTCAGCGTGTATAAACATCGCCGACCAGGAGAACGAACGAGTCGGGAAGGCTTTCTTTGGATCCTTCTTCTTCTTCGGGTACGTCATCCCTCTAGGCATCACCATGCTCATGTACGGGCTGATGCTGAAGCGTCTGCTGTACGGCGTCGTCCCCGGCGGCGCCAACCAATCCGCAGAAAGCATCAGAGCCAAGAAACGCGTCACGCGAATGGTGGTGATTGTCGTGGTCATCTTTGCTATATGCTGGCTCCCCATCCAGGTGATTCTCTTCACGCAGAAGTTCCAGGAGGAGCAGGAAAGGTCGGCGGCCTACATCAGCATTCAGATGGCGGCAAACTGCTTGGCTTACATGAACAGCTGCGTCAACCCGATCCTCTACGCGTTTTTGTCGGAAAACTTTCGCCGAAGTTTCCGGAGGTTCTTATGCTGCACGGAAAGCTCGAGGCGAATGGAGTACGAGCGGACGAACATCCGGTTCACGGTGACCGAGAAAGAGACGACCAGCACGAAGACGACGTGCGTCAACAACTCAAAGACCTACACACCCGTGTAGCCGGGAGCCGTCAAACCTCGAGGCTAGACTAGCCGGAAACTACTCAGACACCAGATGCTAGCCAGAAATCATAGGCTAGTCAGACACCAAATACTAGCCAGACACCAGCTAGAGGCCAGCCAGACAAAAACACCTGTCACCAAGTCTGTGACGACCACTCAGATGTGGACCAACAACACACCAATCCAACTGCGCACGTCAAAACAACTCACCCTATAAACACAGGCTGCAATGCGCGCGCAACCTAGCGGATGTGATGTCTTTAAATTTTCATTAGCCTCGAGCTTCGATTCGTGATTTCAAAACCTGGCTTAGCAACAGACGAATCGAATTTTTACAAAACATCAAAGTTTTGCCACAATAAAAAGTGTATTCAATACTGTAATTTAAACTGGCGCGGTAATGGACCATATATTTCAAGTCTTTGGTGACAGACTTTACATCGTCGCCTGAAATTCTCTGGGTCTTAGAAACAATCAGGCGGTTCTTTGCTACTAAAGCTGCTGTTCTTGAAAATACAAGATATCATATACAAAACCGATTATATATATATATATATATATATATATATATATATATATATATATATATATATATATATATATATATGTGTGTGTGTGTGTGTGTGTGTGTGTGTGTGTGTGTGTGTGTGTGTGTGTGTGTGTGTGTGTGTGTGTGTGTGTGTGTTTGTGATTGCGTGTTTATGAGTATATGGATGTGTATATCGAAGAAAGTATGTATAAGATTCAATCATAGTTCACATAAAAACACGTATATGTATAGATAGCACCCAATTATTGCTGACATTGTGAACTGTTCAACTACCTGAGATCCAATCGTGACGGCTATGCTATGATGTAACTACTGTAGATGTAAATTTGTGTACATTGATGAGATTTGGCTTCCATACCATTGGGGTGATGTTCTGCATGCACTATCTCCCCCCACCCCCTCCCTCACTTATCTAACTTTTAAACCCTAACTCTAACATATTTAATGTATGTGAGCGGATATTATTGCTCACTGTATTGCGCATGTCCACAAATATATGTACATGTCCATGGTCGCATTGCACAGTTAGGAATTAATCCTAGAACATAATGGATTCACTTCCTGTTAATTAATCTAATTTTTAAGTTAATTATTTTATCATTTAGCCCAAATCACTGGCTATGTTGTTATTACGATTTGAATTTGAATATATTTATCTCTATGATTCATCCACAAAATGTTTTGTTTCGTAACATGTTGGGTATACTTGTTTGCATTACATATGTTTAAAGTTTTTACTAGTACCTCTCAATGACATCACTTTCTGTATTTTATGTATGACGTACCTCGGTGTTGCGCACATCACGTGATCTCCGTAGCTAGGTGTCGCTGCTCCCAAATAATTTCTGTCGCTGGGTTGTAAGTATAAGACCTCTGCTAAGGAATTTTACCTCAATGAATCGCTCAATTTAAAATAAACGAAAGGGATATAATCTAGTAGTGAGTTGAGTAATCAGGGGCGACAACCACAGTCACTGCATCCTCACTATCTCTGCTTAGATTAGCATAAAAAATTATTTATATCTGACACAGCTCCGTACTGGACATTAGGCCGTATAGTTGGCCATTGATGAGTATTAAAAATATTGTATAAGCTCACTAGACCATTCAGTAGGCCATTATTATTTCACGAATTTACATTATTTTTAATTATATTGTAAAGTGAAATTAATTTTTCTTTTTGGTTGTTAGGTATGGTGTGCTTATCTTTATCGTACATGTGGCTTACACGAATTGTAGTTAGAATTTACGCAAAAAAAAATGTTTCGCTAATTATAAGCTACGCTTAATTCTTTTATTTAAAATACATAATTTTTTTAGACATTTTTTTTTCATTGTTTTTAAAACCGAAAATGGCGTACTTAAAAAACCAGAACTTTTAAAGAAGGTGGAAACTCACGGGTGTTTGATACTTTCACATTTGCTTTCCGGGATTTGATGCAGTGAGGGGGGGGGGTAATGGAAACAGGTTCTGTGACGTAACATTTGATGGGATCACGGCTGGTCGTCTGCTGAGTTCACACTTGGTGTTACACCACCATACATGAAAACACACGGTCTAAAATTGTGTTCAATAAAGGTAATAAAATTCTAAACTTTGGTATAGGTCGGTCTAGCTGGTAAAAGTCTAAACTTTGGTATAGGTCGGCCTAGTTGGTAAAACTTAACTTTGGTATAGGTTGATCTAGTTAGTAAAATTCTAAAATACGGCTGAGGCTGTGTATATAAGAAGATGTTTGCTGACGTCATGACGTAGAAATTTATGTTAACGGTCATTTTCTTATTCGTCCATACAAAACGACACTTGACATATCACTCGATAGCTCCAGCCACAAGTATTATATTCACATTAACTAGAGCCATAAGTATTATATTCACATTAACTAGAGCCATAAGTATTATATTCACATTAGCTCCAGACACTAGTATTATATTCACATTAGCTCCAGACAAAAGTATTATATTCACATTAACTAGAGCCATAAGTATTATATTCACATTAACTAGAGCCATAAGTATTATATTCACATTAGCTCCAGACACAAGTATTATATTCACATTAACTAGAGCCATAAGTATTATATTCACATTAACTAGAGCCATAAGTATTATATTCACATTAGCTAGAGCCATAAGTATTATATTCACATTAGCTCCAGACAAAAGTATTATATTCACATTAGCTCCAGACAAAAGTATTATATTCACATTAACTAGAGCCATAAGTATTATATTCACATTAACTAGAGCCATAAGTATTATATTCACATTAGCTAGAGCCATAAGTATTATATTCACATTAGCTCCAGACAAAAGTATTATATTCACATTAGCTCCAGACAAAAGTATTATATTCACATTAGCTCCAGACAAAAGTATTATATTCACATTAGCTCCAGACAAAAGTATTATATTCACATTAGCTCCAGACAAAAGTATTATATTCACATGAGCTACAGAACTTAACTCCAACTTAACTGACACAATACTATTTCAATGATTTTAGATAAAAACTAAACACATTATTTTGAGATAAAATGTTTTACTTTAGTAATGAGGACTCTAGTTTATGAACTTAATCCGTTCTCGGTTAGTGTTCTTTTTTCTGGGACATTAGTATCAGATGTTACATCTTTTGAAGAATATACTACGATAGTCGGATTTTTTTAAATATACAAATTAAAATGTCTGAACATTTTTGTAAAATATTTTTAACGCAGACAAAAATTACATCGGTTAAATATTAAAAAAAAAACTTGAAATACAATATTTTAACAGCAAAGATGTTTGTAAGTAAAAAATTTTGAAAGCTTTATAATGTTTACGACTGGGTTGAAAGTGTGCTGTAATTTAGACCTATATATCAGTTATTTGATGCCTCCCCAAAAAACTGACGGGGTATTAAATCTCTGATGGATGATGTAATTTAACATTTCTGGCAAGTAAAAACGTCAAGGAAACTTCTGGAAACTTCCCTAAATAGAATTAGCGTTAGCTCTTTAATCGTTGAGTGGGAGTCCCGGCTTTTAACATGTCGTCCGATATCCCATAATAGCTCATCAATATTTATAATTTAATAATTCCTAATCTTTGTACGAGTATGGGTGGTTTAGAGATTGATTACATGGACATTAAGTTGGCGAGATTTTTTCCCCATTTCGGGTTTTCATTTTAAATTTATATTTCCAAGAATGGACTTGAATATTCTTCTTGCTGATTCTAAAATGAGATTAAAATTAAAGCAGTTAAGTAATTTGTTGAAATGAAGGCCCACTTTCCTTTTAGGAAGTGTAGGAAAAATAAATAAGCAAATGTTGGAAATGGCATTTGTGTTCTCAGTATTAAATCAATGTTAGAAATATTTCTGTGTGAATGGTTTGGGGTTATTTGAAGTTGTTTTAGTAAAGTAGGATGAGGAAAGAATACAATTGACCAATAGTCTTATACTAAGTTGGTCTTTAGATAATAACTGATCCTGCAGCATGAGTGAAATATTTAAATACGGACGTAGAATTTCAGGACTAGAGTTTTGGCAGAAGGGTACACATGTCCGAATACCGTGAAAACCACTGAGCCGAATAAAGTTATTATCTAGCGTGCAAATTGTCGTCACGAGTTGCGTGTGAGCAGGCTCATAGGTCAAAGGTTGACGCTCCACCGTGCACGTGAATAATCCTTGCAGTCATTTCACGATTGAGCACACATTTCCTCAAGATGTCGACCCTCGCGAGAATTCCCCGGCCCCCATCAAGTGTGGTGACATTTTCTTTCAGTCTACTCAAATAAACATTTCATGGGTTGCGTCCCTTTCTACAAACTGAAGAAAACATTTCATGGATTACTTCCCTTTCAATAAACTTGTATTAACATTTCATGGATTACTTCCCTTGCTGTTGTCGGTATTCGCTATAGTTTTCTTCTTATTTTTACTTTTTCTTTAAAGTTTTATTTTTCGGTAAAAAAAACTATTTTTTGTGACACTTTTGTCTGTTGTTAACTGTTCGGATAAGCGGGTTTAGTGATGAGTTAGCGTTATGTGTTTCTAGTGCCATCTCAACCTTCAGTTCACGTCTGTGGCTTTTTCTTTTCTTTCCTTTTTAGAACCTTTGTGTTTTTGTTGTCGGCCAAGATAAAAAAAAATACAATTCTTATCTTTATTTCTAACAAACAACGTCGGATGTCCTTAATACAATCTCCACTCATGTTGATAATGACTGATTAGCTCAACTAACAACCGGTAACTATGATTTAAAAAATGGTGCACTAACATATTTGTTTGATCATTGAACATCAAATATCTAAACATTAGTTGTTATTAATAATCAGTCAAGGAAGTTGATTGTTTTACGCGGAGTGTATTTATTTCATTGCTTGAGTTTTTAATTAATTAACTCTCTGATTAAGCTTGATTACTTTTTAAAGATGGGGTAAAAATTATATCTGCAATGTGTTTTTTTTTATTTTTTCAAGCTTGACTTTAAAATTATATGTGAAAATAAAAATCAATTTGTTTTGTTATAATATGATATCATGTATCATAACTTCAATTTCTGTTTGTAAATTAACTTTTTTAAATATCTAAATGGCATATGTGATGTCATGTACTGATGACAGTGTCATTTGTTAATGACTTGTGTGATGTCATTTTTAATGTCATAAGTAGAATGTTATACATTGGTC